ACTCCCTTTCTGTTGCTATGATAAAGTAAACTTATGTCCTGATCCTGACAGCTTTCCTATCTCCTTAAGCCAAAGCTTACTTTAACTAATGCAAGGTGTTATGGGATACTTAGCATAAGTGAACAGATTATAAAGGTAGAGGCCAATTTAGACTATGTAACTGCTATATTTATGCTTAATATGTAGGGTGCAGATAAAACATACTATCAGTATAACATATATATACTATCCAGCATATATTGGTCAACAGTAGGTTGAGGCATGACTCAAAGAGGGCAGAACTAAGGTTGCGAGGGGGGGGGAGGAATGTACTGGTTTTCAGAGGTTCAAGTTTGTTTTACCATAACTGTTTATTCCCTGGTTTTTAGAGATTTAAATATAGGTGCCTTTGTTCTAGAAGGGTATTAGTAGGCTTGGAAGAATTAGATTTTTAGCAATGAATGTTGATAAACATCAGCTTCATTGTACACACACACAACCCAACAAAAATATTTCCATCAGTAATAATCAAAATTTACAGATTGCCAAATTAAGAAAATGCTACTTGAGAATTTGATTTAAGGATATTTACTTTGTATATTTTAATGTGATGTTGACAACTTGTGTTTTAATGGTTATAAACCTTTAACTTTTTGAATCTTAACTGACGCTCCAAACACCAATAATTTCCCACAACTCTGAAAACTTAAATATAAAAAAATAAACACCAGTCTTATTTGGTGAAATTACACAATTGAATTCTGCCAAGCCTAGTTATGAGGCACTGGCAGGCAGCCTGAACTCTGCATTAATAAGTTTTGGGGCCAATTCCATATTTTTTGAGGAAGAGTGTGTGTGTGTGTGTGTGTGTGTGTCACACAAAGAGGCTTCTTGGGAACACCTCACTGCCTCTTAACTACCTGCTGTGCCCTGGTCCTGGCCTCTCCATGCACCCAGCAGGGCTGGAGGCCCATGGGTGGGGGGAGGAAGAGGGAACCAACAAGCTGTGAAGAGCCTATCTACCCATTGGAGGCAGCAAGAGAGAATGAAGGGCTGTTCCAGACTTTCGTACTCCACTTTGGGGCTAATGTAGGGGGAAAGGCTCAACAGAATCCTCTACAGTGCGGAACGATTGCAGAAGTCTGAGGTGGCTCATTCATCTCAAGGATGAATATCATTTTGAAAATGTTTGTTGCAGTTTATGCACTGATCGTTTGTTTTTTTTTAAGGTGGCTATTCGGGGGTTATCACTTGAGGATTAGTATGGCTATTTTAAAAGAGCCACTAGGGAAATGCAGCCTAGATAGAGCTACTATAAGGTGGGTGCATAACTGGTTGGAAAACCGTTCCCAGAGCATAGTTATCAGTTGTTCACAGTCATGCTGGAAGGGCAGGGATCAGTTCTGGGTCCGGTTCTGTTCAATATCTTCATCAATGATTTAGATAATAGCATAGAGAGTACATTTTTAAAGTTTGCGGAGGATACCAAGCTGAGAGGGGTTGCAAGTGCTTTGGAGGATAGGATTATAATTCAAAATGATCTGGACGAACTGGAGAAATGGTCTGAAATAAATAGGATGAAATTTAACAAGGACAAATGCAAAGTACTCCACTCAGGAAGGAACAATCAGTTGCACACATACAAAATGGGAAATGACTGCCTTGGAAGGAGTACTGCAGAAAGGGATCTGGGGGTCATAGTGGACCACAAGCTAAATATGAGTCAAGAGTGTAACACTGTTGCAAAAAAAGCAAACCTTGTTCTGTGATGTATAAGCAGGAGTGTTGTAAGCATGACACAAGAAGTAATTCTTCTGCCCTACTCCATGCTGATTGGCCTCAACTGGAGTATTGTGTCCAGTTCTGGGCATCACATTTCAGGAAAGATGTGGACAAACTGGAGAAAGTCCAGAGAAGAGCAACAAAAATGATTAATTTCAGAGTAGCAGCTGTTAGTCTGTATCCGCAAAAAGAAAAGGAATACTTGTGGATTAAAATGATTAAAAATCTAGAAAACATGACCTATGAGGAAAGATTGAAAAGCTTGGGTTTGTTTAGTCTGGAAAAAAGAAGACTGAGAGGGGATATGATAACAGTTTTCAAGTACATAAAAGGTTGTTATAAGAAGGAGGGAGAAAAATTGTTCTTCTTAACCTCTCAGGATAGGACAAGAAGCAATGGACTTAAATTGCAGGAAGGGAGGCTTAGGTTGGACATTAGGAAAAACTTTGTGTCAGGGTGGTTAAGCACTGGAGTAAATTGTCTAGGGAGGTTGTGGAAACTCCATAATTGGAGATTTTTAAGAGCAGGTTAGAAAAACACCTATCAGGGATGGTCTAGAATAGATAATACTTAGTCCTACCATGCGTGCAGGGTACTGGACTAGATGACCTCTCAAGGTCCCTTCCAGTCCTATGATTCTATGTGACTAATTTTTATCATATCTGACATTTCATTTGGACCCTTCTTTCACAGAAACTATACCACTTGAACAGTAAAATTGATATATATGAACTTTGGTTTGTGTAGATGGTTGAAATCTGTTTATTTTTCACAGGAAGTATAGGATACTGTTATCAGTCAAAATAGTACCTCAGCATCACATTAGTCATTGTTAACTTTATGCATGTCCTTGGAATATGGCTCTTTTTGGGGGGGAGGGGGTGTTTCCTAATGGTCTGAAACCCCTTTATCAGGCTGACATTGATGAGAGTGACAGCTGTTTTCTTTTATCACACTCAATCATATGATTGTGGAAATGGGTAAGGATTATGAGACATTATTACATTACACTAATATATTGCTTACTAGTGTCTTTCATTTTCCCTCTGTTTATTTAATGCTATTTTTTCACAATACTTCTAAAGTAAAATCTGAGTATGGCTATGGATTTCAGAGCAATTTGAAATATTGGCTCATACCAAAAATTTTGCTCTGAGAGCAAAAATTCCAGAAGAAGCCCCTGCACAATGAAACTAGTATGTATGGCAAAAAAAGCTGCCACAGATAGGACTCAAATTCTAAGTTCATGGGTGCTGCTTAGGTACAATGGCCACAGCATGTCACCTGGAGCCACACCCTTACTCTGTTTACCTGTCTGCAAACAATCTGGCTTTCACCGGAGTCCCAGTCCTGCTGTGAAATCCTCAAATAACTTTCTCTGGCTCATCAGCTTGGCTTGAGCTACATTATAGATCCAACTTTAACCCTAAATAACTTTTAAAATAGTGATTCCCGTGGGAGCAGTGGGTTTTGGACACTAGGTGAGATCAATTCCTACCAGGTGATATCAGTATGAGGAGGATCAGAGCCCTAGTTTGAGCACTAGGTGTGCACAGAAAAACATAAGAACTGTAAAATGTTGATCTCACTCTTTTTTTAGAGCAAAGCTGTATCTCAAGTACCCCTTGCTCAAACCATCTCATATTTGGACCACTCTCTCTACCCCAGATCCTCGTTAGGCACAGGAGTTTTTAAGACAATGCACTTAAGCATTTGGATTTTAGAAAAAGCTGTTAAGCAGTAAGCTATTCTATAGTGGTACTGCTGTAATGTTAAGTTAGTTCATTAGTTAGTACCTCTTACAGTTCTGGCATTTAGGGCAGTGACGAAGCTCCTCCACTCCTGTCTGTTTCTGGCACGTCTTTCAATGGTTACCCAGCTGTGCCCCAGGTTTTTTCAGCTCAGCTTCCACAGGTCTTTGCCATGTTGTTTTTGGGCAACCTCATATTTGCTTACCTTCAGGTGTTCATCTTATTGCTATTCTCATGATGGAATCAGTTTGGATGTAATGTTAGGAGTGGTTTGTGTATATATATATATGTTTTTGAATTTCAAACGTAACAGTCAGTTGCATGATAGGAGAAGCAGCACTAATGCTATTTAGAATGTATTTATATATTATTTGCATATGAATAGCTTGTCAGTCTGCATTTATGTAGCACCCTTCATCTCCAAAGCATGTCACATATATTGGCTCTGATCCTCCAGTCAGATCTATGTGGGTGGATCTTTGCAGAGCCCCACTGAGGTCTGCGGACTCCATCTGGGTCTGACTGCAGAATCAGGGTCCATTAACTGGATATTCTATAACACCCTACAAGTAAGTAAGGAATTAGAAATGGTGTGCACCCTAGACAGAGACTGTAAAATTGTTTTTCCAGCCCATTTTCTGAAAAGCAGCACATCCGGCATTTAAAAATATTTAATTAAAACACACGCTTCCTCTCTAACCTGTGCATCTTTACCAGACTGAGGCACTTATTAAACCTTCAATATTAAAAATATTTTAAAATAAGTCTGACAACCTCTAAAATGTAGCATTTAAAAAGGTGTGTAACTCTCTTTAGTCTGTTGCAATTGTATTGCTGTGTGATGACTGTTTGTTCCCATCTTCAGCCCCAAAGCAGGATTCACCAGCAATTAATAAAGAAGTTTAGAAAGTAAAATCGCTGTTGCCAGTTCTTGTGATGTTTATTGAAAGTCTTGCAGTATTTGGTGTATTTATTAAAGCCCCAGCTCCCAGAATTCTGTGATGATGTGATAACCTCACCTTTCATTTTTAAAAAAGCAAGTTGCTAGCCCTCTTAGAAGAAGAGAAAAACCTGAAACTCTGAACTCTAAATGTTCAAAAACCAGAAGGCAAATAAAAAAGAAACCATAATTATTATTTTAAGCCTATCTCTTGATTTTGCGGGGGGGCCTGACATTTTTGAATTCCTGGGGCTGGCAGTTCTAGTCTTCCCACATATCACTCCTCTGCTCTGCCTCTCCTGGTGCTCCCGCACACGGAGACCCGTGGGCTGCTGTCTCTCGTGGAGAAATCCTGTTGAAGATCGTGGTGCTCACCGCTGACATGCACAGAAAATGCTGTTTCCCTGCTGCACCCTGGACAGTCCCCAGGCTGCTTTAAATCGTTCGCGGCTTCCGTGAAAAGGCTTCTTGGGTAGCCGTAGGTCAGGATAGAGCCGGGGCCCTGCGTGGTCGGTTTTAAACTACATTCCCCAGAATCCTGCGCTTCTCACGCCTGCGCTGCAACTGCTCCGCCTGAGAGAAGGGGGTTGGGGCAGCCGCGGCAACGGCCGCAGGCGGAGAAGACAGAGGGTGAGGCGTGCGCGCGCCTGCGCCGACAGCCCGGCACGGTCCATGAGGGCTCGCGCTGGGGTTGCAGAGCCTCGGGCTCCTTGCTGTCGCGCGCTTGCTGCCCCCCCCCTCTCTCAGCCCTCGGGGGCTGCCGCCGAGGCTTGTTCCCGCGCTCTTCGCTGGTGCCATGCTCAGACAAGAGATCGCCGCGTCTTACCAGGAGGTACTGAGGGGCGGCGGGGAGGGGAGACGGTTAATTCGGTCGGGCGAGTGCCTCGGCGTCAGGAAGGCGCGCTGCGCCGCAAGCCGGGGGGGTCTTTTGTTTGCCCAGCCGACTCCGTAACGGGGGCTCAGCAGCTGTGCACCGGCAAATGGGTTGCGGCGGTGGCTTGAAGGCTGCGAGACAGCGACGGAGATAAGAGCAGCACGGTGCCGGACGGCTTCGCAGCAGCCTCTGAGGGCGCAGCCGTTTCCAGCTAGGTGCAGCAATCCGGTGACGTGCACATTAATGGTAAACCTCAGATCTACGATGAAATAGCACTGCGGCTGATTGCCCTGTACCTGTGCTCAAGCTGAACACCGCTATAACTTGAGCGTATGTGTGTTGTTCCCCTTTCAGTCTGTTTAAAAGCAATTGCAGTATCTTCGTCTTGGCGCCAGTCCCCGCGCTTATTAAACAGTCATCTTCTGGTTATCCAGATCTTCAGTGACTTTGTTAAGTCACCTAGGGCATAGAAAGTCAGAGCCATAGCAAAACCGGCTGGCTGTTGGCTTTATGTTGCCCTAGGCAAACTGTAAAGTGTCCATTCCTTCCAACCTGCAGTCACTCAAAGAGATCGCCTCATGAATGGTTTTGCTGCCTAAGGCATCCACCTGCTTTCTCTGTATGGTAGAGCCCTGATCCCTAGGGTCCTTGTATTTAAATACATAGGCACGAAACAGGATGATCTCTGATACAGGCAAATACATGTTTGTATTTAAAAACAAGGAAATGTCAGTGAAAATACAGTCCATTGTAAATTGTAGAAAGTATAGGTACATACAGTGGGCAGGTGACTTTATCACTTTTATAGCAAAGGAGGGGTCTGTCAGACATGAAAAGTGATACTGAAGGCCCAGTTGTAATCGTGCCAGCAGCCTGCATCTAGTTTGCATATCAAACTCTTATATAAGCATAATATTATACTTGCTTGTACTTGTATCTTTCTTGGTAGGTGCATAGAAATTGTCTTGTTCAAGTTAATCGGCAATAAAAACCTGCAGCTCGTCACCTTTGCCTTCACCACACAGCTGTTTACCTCGTTTTAGGAAGTTGCAAGCTACATTTGGCCTTGGGCTTGCGCCATAGGAAGCTCTAGTTTAGCCTATCGGCATTTATCAGTTCTTCTCCCATTTATCATGTTAGACTAGAAGACATTAAAAGATTTAAATAACCTCATGTACAAACAAGTGAAACAGAACATTTCTCCCTTTATTCATACCCCCCAGCAGGGTTTTCTCTGACTGGATGAAATTCACTTCACTCACATAAAGGTAGGAAGTGGGTGAAGAGCAGGTGGTGCTGCTATTTCTGTAACCAGCCCTGAACTGAAGTATGGGTTTTGTATCTCCCCTGATCTGCCCCTATCTCCCAAGTCAGTGTTGACATCCATTAGGGCCTCATCCTCCCTGATTGAACTAACCTCGTTATCCCTAGCCTGATTCTTACTTGCATATTTATACCTGCCTCTGGAAATTTCCACTACATGAATCTGATGAAGTGGGTAGTCGCCCACAAAAGCTTATGCTCCAATATGTCTGTTAGTCTATAAGGTGCCACAGGACTCTTTGCCGCTTTTACATCTGTGAATAGTTTCATTCATATGGGCATATACTGGTACATTTGAAGAAACTGGAATAAACTTGCATGGTAATACTGCTCCTGCTATCCTGTTGTTGGTGGACTGTAGCTTTTAGTGTGTATGCAGATGGGACTGGCTGTGAAATAGGTTTTGTAAGGTTGCATACACTCATTCTGGATTGAATGCTGTGCTCCCAAGATGTAATGGCTTACCCCATGCTCGAGTTAAGCTTTTAAAGTCCAGTGCTATATGTGATTCTTAGTGGTTTGGAGTGAATTTTGTATGCACGTTTGTGGTCAGATGAGTTTTCTGGACTTCCAGTGAAGTCAGTTGTCCTTACAAGCATCAGACCACCAGCACAGCTCACCTAGTTACTAAGGGTGCGATCCATGAAGGGACTTAGGTGCCTACGTCCCTTTGTGGATCTGGGCCCAAGGGTTAGTGCTTCTTACGCTTTGGGCTGACAGCCCTGTGATGGTTTTAAGTGTAAGAGGCTTGTAAAAATAGAACTGTCTCACCAGTGCAGAACTCCAAATGTTATATTTTGCTTTTGAAGTGCATTGAAATGCTCTATATTTTGATTTTTCATCTTTCTTCCATTCCAGCATATTAAAGAAGGGTCATTGTAGATTTACCCTGAGAGTGTAATAAATGTTGTATCATAATATGTTTTCTACTTTTGATATTACACTGAAATTTATTGCAGTTAGAATCATAGAATCATAGAATATAAGGGTTGGAAGGGACCCCAGAAGGTCATCTAGTCCAACCCCCTGCTCGAAGCAGGACCAATTCCCAGTTAAATCATCCCAGCCAGGGCTTTGTCAAGCCTGACCTTAAAAACCTCTAAGGAAGGAGATTCTACCACCTCCCTAGGTAACGCATTCCAGTGTTTCACCACCCTCTTAGTGAAAAAGTTTTTCCTAATATCCAATCTAAACCTCCCCCACTGCAGCTTGAGACCATTACTCCTCGTTCTGTCATCTGCTACCATTGAGAACAGTCTAGAGCCATCCTCTTTGGAACCCCCTTTCAGGTAGTTGAAAGCAGCTATCAAATCCCCCCTCATTCTTCTCTTCTGCAGGCTAAACAATCCCAGCTCCCTCAGCCTCTCCTCATAAGTCATGTGTTCCAGACCCCTAATCATTTTTGTTGCCCTTCGCTGGACTCTCTCCAATTTATCCACATCCTTCTTGAAGTGTGGGGCCCAAAACTGGACACAGTACTCCAGATGAGGCTTCACCAATGTCGAATAGAGGGGAACGATCACGTCCCTCGATCTGCTCGCTATGCCCCTACTTATGCATCCCAAAATGCCATTGGCCTTCTTGGCAACAAGGGCACGCTGCTGACTCATATCCAGCTTCTCGTCCACTGTCACCCCTAGGTCCTTTTCCGCAGAACTGCTGCCTAGCCATTCGGTCCCTAGTCTGTAGCTGTGCATTGGGTTCTTCCGTCCTAAGTGCAGGACCCTGCACTTATCCTTATTGAACCTCATCAGATTTCTTTTGGCCCAATCCTCCAATTTGTCTAGGTCCTTCTGTATCCTATCCCTCCCCTCCAGCGTATCTACCACTCCTCCCAGTTTAGTATCATCCGCAAATTTGCTGAGAGTGCAATCCACACCATCCTCCAGATCATTTATGAAGATATTGAACAAAACCGGCCCCAGGACCGACCCTTGGGGCACTCCACTTGATACCGGCTGCCAACTAGACATGGAGCCATTGATAACTACCCGTTGAGCCCGACAATCTAGCCAGCTTTCTACCCACCTTGTAGTGTAGTTATTTTTTCCATTCCATTTTTATTTTAATTTAATTTGACATGGAAGTTCTCTCTCACTGCAATTTGCATATTGCTGTGAATTGGAAACAATTGCGGCTTATTCAGCTTCTCAAGTTCCACTCTGCTCAAAACCTCTCATTGCACTTGGTTTTCTTTGTTTAGACCTGATGTGACCAAGTTGCAGGTTTAAAGAAAGAATGAACCATCTGTTGTTAATTGTATTCTGTGCTTCTGTAGGACCTTTCATCTGAGGATTTCAATGCATTTTATGTTGATTAAACCTTCAAACACCTGTGAAGAGTAGATAGTAGTATTCTCATTTTACAGAGAGCTAAACTGGGGCATTGAGAGGTTAAGTAATTAGTCCATAGTGTCACAGTCTGGCAGTGGTAGAGCCCAGAATACCGAATGCCTTTAACCACCTAACTAGACAATATAGGCAGATGAAGTGTCTGTGTGTTAGGAGGAAGAGTGTCTAATGGTGAGAGAAGATGAGAAGTCAGGAGCTGAGGAAACTATTTCTGGTTCTGCCACTGACTAGGTCTGTGACTTTTGATAAGTCCCTTAGGTCTTTTCTGCATGAGGAAGTTGCACAAGTATAACTTGAATCAACTTTTAAACTGTAAAAGGCCTTGTCTACAGCAACGATCAGTTCATGGCAAGCAGTGGTGTGACTCTACCCTGCAGTAGTCTGTGAGGCTCCATCCATGTGAACCCAGCTGAAATGTATTAACAGTTAGTTAGTGCCATTTGATTAGCCACATTTCAAAGGAGACTAAATCAAAGGTCACTAATGAATTATTAATAGGAATCAGCAGAGTCCGCACACACAGTTAGTCCCACAGCTTGTGTGGGGTAGAGTCACAACTCGCCTTGCGCCAAACTAAATGTTCCTACAGTCTAATCTTTAAGTAAACTGGTGCTAAAGGCTTTGCAGACACTTTTATTTCAGCATAAGAGTGTCTTATTTTGGTTTAACTAAACCTGTTCCTAATCCAGGAGTGGTCAACCTGCGGCTCCGGAGCCACATGTGGCTCTTCAGAGGTTAATATGCAGCTCCTTGCATAGGCGCTGACTCCAGGGCTGGAGCTACAGATGTTAGTTTTCCAGTGTGCTGGGGGGTGCTCACTGCTCAACCTTCTGCTCTGCCCCAGGCCCTGTCCCCACTCCATCCCTTCCCCCAAGGCCCCTTCCCCTGAGCCTGCCACCCCCATAGCCTCCTGCGCATGTAAAACAGCTGACTGCGGGGGAGGGGGGAGTAGGCGCAGATTGGTGGGGGCTGTCGGCAGGCGGGAGGCACTGGGAGTGGATTGGGGGCTGCTGACGTATTATTGTGGTTCTTTGGCAATGTACACTGGTAAATTCTGGCTCCTTCTCAGGCTCAGGTTGGCCATGCCTGTCCTAATCTATTCAAGTTAACCTGCAATAATCCACTCTTAAACTGACATAAGAATCCACACTGCTTTGCGTATCTGTTTAACTATGGCCATGTCTACACTACCACTTTTGTCAGTATAATTTATGTTGCTCAGGAATATGAAAAAACACCCCCTCCCCTGAGCGACATAAGTTACACTGACAGAAGAGCCGGAGTGTACAGCGCTATGTTGGCGGGAGAGTTGCTACCGCTGACCGTGGAGGTGGTTTTGTTATGTCAACGGGAGAGCTCTCTCCCGTCAGTATAGCGCGGCTACACGGGCGATCTTACAGCAGTGCAGTTGTACTGGTACAGTTGTGCCCCTGTAAGCTTACTAGTATAGACATGGCTTTAATATGTTGAAATTCACACCTTAAGTTAAACTGGGGCAACAAAACCTCTGTCGACAAAACCTTTCTCTCTCTGCTGGTCTGAGTCTCTGCTGCCTCACACCCTGAGAAGTCAGTCACACCTGTGCAAAGTGTGTGTGAAACAGCGGTAACATTTTGTGCTCGCTTTGTGCAGGTGTGAATGACTACACAAAGTTGCAAGAAGAAAGGGGAGCATCAGGCTCTTTGCCTAAGAAGATTTTGCATCTGTAAAATGAATAATATTTGAGAGCTGGAATATAAGTCGCTAAAAAGTGAAAATGATCAATCAGTATATTTTATTACAATGTTTAAAATAAAAAAATGTATATTTTAAAATGAGATAGACAAAAGTTGGTGCAAAGGAAGGATCCTTAGCCCTTCAGCTTCTGTGAGGGACACCTGGGGAAAAGATGATAGGACTTTTTTCTTAAACAAAAGGAAAACCAAGTTTTCATTGTTTGGATTCCATGTGTTCCCCAGTTCTTTGTCTAGATGCTTTGTGGTATATATTGATGCCTATCTCATGTGACAAGCTTACGACATTGACCAAAATGTCCTGGCAGTTTGGGCTCTGAGTTGGAACAAGAAAACGCGTGATCGCTATTACTTCTTTGCAAAGCCCTGATTTGTTTGTTAGCAGCTGCACTGAGCTGAAAAATAAAGAGCAGCGATTTGTCGACTTTTTGACTGTTCATTTGTAATGACACATCCGCTGAGGTGGTTTGGGCTGCGCTCTGGAGTAACTTGCACTAATATCTGTGTTAAAAACAATAACATTTCTTGCATGCCCTTCTGATGCCCATCCGATGAAGTAAGCTGTAGCTCACGAAAGCTTATGCTCAAATAAATTTGTTAGTCTCTAAGGTGCCACAAGTACTCCTTTTCTTTCTTCTGATTGTAAGCAATGTCAGGATGAGCTCCACCCTGACATCTGGTGATGAGGTGTGGCAAGTTGTGGGAAAGAACTTCAGGGGCTGATCTCATTTGCATAGGCACACCCACCACACCTAGAATGAGACCATAGCTGCCCAAATGGTCACTTTGGCTGCTGTGGGATCCCCAGTGTCTCTGTTATTGGGGCAGGAAGAATAAATTGTTATTACCCTGATTATGGGAACTGTGCTTGGAACTGTACGTGGCCTTTTGTTATGATGGAGGGATTCACCATCAACTAAGTAGCACTCGCTAGGCAAGGGTCATGGGTTCCAAAACTGTGTGAATGGAGAGAGGCTGGGGACAAGTATTAATACTTAGTGGCATGGGCCCCTTGGTGAGGGCCTTACATGCTAATTGCACTTCCTCCTCTCTCCACTGTGGAATATCAGAGCTAATTTTGATTTCATTAGAAGTCTAGTTATAGGCTGCTGAGCTCACTTTGGGCTGACAGTGCACCAGCACTGGGCTCCCCTACTACAAGCTGAATTCACCTAAGAACTGAAATCACTGAGTGTTGTGTTAAGTAGTGGGGGAGCCTGAAGATATATTGTGGAGCAGTTTGCGGGACGGCTGGAGTGCCTTGCGGGACGGCTGGTGGAGCAGTTTGTGGATGGCAGGAGCTGCTTGTGGGCCGTGGAGCTGAGCGAAGGAGTTCGTGGGGCGGCTGGCGGGGCGGAGCGCCGCTGAGCGAAGGAGTTCGTGGGGCGGCTGGCGGGGCGGAGCGCCGCTGAGCGAAGGAGTTCGTGGGGCGGCTGGCGGGGCGGAGCGCCGCTGAGCGAAGGAGTTCGTGGGGCGGCTGGCGGGGCGCAGCGCCGCTGAGCGAAGGAGTTCGTGGGGCGGCTGGCGGGGCGCAGCGCCGCTATGGGGCGGTCAGCTTCAGATCATGTAAGGTGCCTCTTACCCCCGTCCCATTTCCACTCAGGTTGGGAGGTAAAGCTCCACAGATAAACTTTCGAACTCTGGGGCTGCCCTGACCAGGGACAGAGACTTTTGGGGCATTGGACTTTTGGGACTTTGGGTGATTTGGGGTTGCTGGACTCAAGAACCAAAGGGAAAAGGGCATGCCCCAATTTGCTTGGGGTGGGTTTTTTTTTGCTCATGGGTTGTGTTATGAATCCTGTTGGTGGTGTTTCCCCAACATAATGCCACATTGTTTCTCTCTGTTATTAAAAGGCTTTTGCTACACTCAGACTATGTGCTTGCGAGAGGGGAAGTATCGCCTCTTGGAGGCGCCCAGCGGGGGTGGTATATATTTGTCCCAGGTCACTGGGTGGGGGCTCGAGCCGGTTTGCATTGTGTTATTGGAATGGATCTCCTAGATATTGAACCCGGCCCTTGTTGCTGCCAACTCTGACGGGCAGAAGGGTTACATGATTGCAGTGTGCTAATGCTTTGTCCTGTGGCATGGGTTGTGATTTGTAATAATATATATGCTGAAACATGGACCTACTTCACTCAAGAACATGTTGAGATCATGAGACACTATCTTAATTTTGAAGGTTCAAGTGGGCTGAAGATGCTGTTGAAAAGTGCTGGTTTTTAAAGGGTGTTGGTGTGCTGGACTGAGACTTGAAAAATCTGGGTTCAATTTCAGGCTCCCACACTTCCGTTGTTGCCTTGGCAAGTCATTTAATCTCTCAGAATGGGGATAATACTTCCTTTCTCTCATCCTTAGTCTTGTCTCTTTATGTCGTAAGCTCTTTTTCTGTGTATTTGTGCAGCACCTAGCACAATGGGGCTCAGCTGGATCCCACTGCACTACTATAATACAAAAAAATAATCATTATTGTGGTGATATAAAAGTACATTTGAAAATGGGATGTATTTCCTCAGCTGAGTGAGGAAGTGGAGCATGGAGCTGAGCATCCAGAGCCAGTGGAGGAGGGGGAAGTGGACGACGATCAGGAGGATACCAGCTCAGCTATTTTACCAGGTGAGAGCTGCTGTTCCAGAAGTCCTCTATCAAGTGCCTAATAAAAGCTGCTTGTTTTGAATGGCCTTTTGGGGAGCAATTGAAACAATAAATGGCTCACTGTCAGTAATGAAATACTGTACCAAAGAAGAGCTGAAGAGTTCCTTACCCATGAGACCACATCACGGTATCTCCTCTGCTACAGATATTAACCTGGTGTTAGAACCAAACCAAAGAAAATCCAGCAAAATCCATTTAAAAGGAGATGTTTCTCTGCCTCAGAAAGGTGAAGTGCTGAGCTGACCCTGCTGGGATTTGAATGTGCAATTCCAGGGAGCCAGTGTATTGCAACCTAGCGGTATAGGCATTGTCTACCTAAGCAGGTTGCACCAGTTAAACAGAAGGTGTGGTTTTAAACCAATTTAGGCCTTGTCTACACTACAGAGTTTTGTCAAGAAAAGTTATGCTGCTTTAATTAAACTGCTGTTGCATGTACACAGTATGCTTCTTGTGTCGGTAGAGCACATCCACACTAGCAGCTCTTGCGTTGACACAGAGAGCAGTGCACTGTGGGTAGCTATCCCACTGGGCAACTGGCTGCAGGGTGCTTTGGGAAGGGTTTGCAATGCCTCATGGGGCAGGGACAGTGTCACATGATGATGATTTCTCAACCCCATGGTTCCAGGGGCATCCTGTACATTGCCAGCTGCTTTTCAACTGAAGTGTATGGGGGCAGAAGAGTGGGGAGAGGAGAGAGTGTGTGTGTGTGTGTTGGGGGGAGACAGAAACTGTGTGGGTTGATGGAGAGTGTGTCGGCATGCTGTCTCTTTAAGGTCACACAGCAGCCTGAGCAACCAATCCTGAGGCAGGAGGAGGGGGACACATCAGCCCGGCTCTGCACAGCAGTCTCTCTCCTCCAGTACCCCCCGACTTCCCAGAGCTTTGAAAGGGGAGCGGTGCCTGCCTTCGAAGTTAGATGCAGAGCAGCCAAATTCAAAACAGTGAGTAGAGCAGTCTCGGTGGGAATTGTGGGATACTGGGGGAGGCCAGTTATGGTGACATAATGAATGGCAGCATCTACACTGACACTTTGTTGCTTTAACTTTGCCCTGAAAAGCTCTATGCCTCTTGTCGAGGTGATCTTATTTTGTTGGCAAAACAGAAAGAGTTTTGCTGCCAAAAGTAGCTTTGTAATGTGTACCCCTCCCCTGTTTTGTCAAAACTGTGTAGTGTAGACAAGGCCTAACTTCCAGCACAGTAAATACTGTGTGGATGTGCATTTTGGTTTAAATCCGGTTTATTGCAGTGTTGAGTAAGAATAGGTGTAAACTAAGTGTCCATACTCACTTTTGCACTTGTTTAAAAAAACAATATAAGTTTAATTGGTGCAATTTTCTTGTGTAGATAAGGCCCTGGTTTTTTAGGCTGTCCTCTCCTGGCAGTAACTGTGTGGGAATGGCCTGTGTGACCGTGGAATCCCATTATTTGACTAGGCACATGTTCACTGGGAGCTTTTAAAGGGTCAGTATTTACTATGGTAAGGAACAAACATCTCAGCATACTCCTACATTTGAAGGATAGGACATACGGTGGCATGATAAAGGCTGATTTTTTTTTTTTTATATGGCCCCCGGTGTAAAAGACCAAATTGGCAAAATATAGCCACCACTTCTGGCACTTCTGCATGTGCCATTTATAACCCCCATTTGTGTGTGCAACTATATAGTGCACATAGTTAAACCTCCTTGTGTGTAAGTCAAGTGTTGGTTCTTAAAAGTTGTGCAGGCAAGTCATGGGTGGGGGTGTCTACACATACGAAGGGAAGCTGATTAAAGGACTTTGACACTATTACCCATCCTGTTGATAAAGATAGTGAAAGTGTTTGAGAGAGGATAACTTCAGATTTTTTCTAGAGTTAACTGGAATCCTTCTCATGTGCAACTTTATATAATATGCATACGGAGTTAGGTGTTAGACTTTAGTCTTTAAAAATGTAGGGATAACATATAACTGACTGACTTCTAAGCTGGGGCATGCATAGGGTTGCCAACTTTCTGCTCGCACAAAACCAAACACCCTTGCCCCACCGCATCTCTGAGGTCCCTCCCCCACTCAGTCCACACACACACACCCATTACTCACTCTCCCCACACTCACTCACTTGGTCATTTTCACTGGGCTGGCTCAGAGGGTTGCGGTGCAGGAGGGGGCGCGGGCTCTGGGGCGGAGCCAGAAATGAGGAGTTAAGGGTGCGGGAGGGGGCTCTGGGCTGGGGCAGGCAGTTGGGTGCAGGAGGGGGATGAGGGCTCCGGCTGGGGGTGTGAGCTCTGGGTTGGAGCCAGGGATGGGGGGTGCAGGAGGGAGCTCCAGGCTGGGGCTGAGGGGTTTGGAGTGTGGGAAGGTGTTCTGGGTTGGGGTGCGGGGGGTGGTGTGAGGGCTCAAGCTGGGGATGGGTATGCAGACACTGGGGTGTAGGAGGGTGCTGGGGGGTGGAGCTGAGGGGTTCGGCATATGGGAGGGGGCGCTGGGCTGAGGCAGGGGGTTAAGGAATGGGAGGGGGGTGAGGGCCCTGGGCTGGGGGGGTGAGTTCTGGGGGAGGGCAGAACTGAGGGGTTTGGGGTATGGGAGGAGGCTCCGGGCTGGGACCAAGGGGTTCGGAGGGTGGGAGGGGATTGCGGCAAGGGTTTGGGGCGTGGGAGGGGGTCAGGGGTGCAGGCTCCGGGTGGCGCTTACCTCACCCCCCCTCTTACCTCCTGGCGGCGCTTACCCAGAAGAAGCAGCATATCCCCTGTCCAGCTCCTATATGGAGGTGCGGCCAGGCGGTTCTGTGCACTGCCCTGTCCATGGGTGCTGCCCCCCTAGCTCCCATTGGCCATAGTTCCCAGCCAATGGGAGCTGTGGAACCGGCACTTGGAGCAGAGACAACGTGTGGAGCCCCCTGGCTGCCCTACATGTGGGAGCTGGAGTGGGGACATGCCGCTGCTTCAGGGAGCTGCGCGGAGCCAGAGCAGGCAGGGCGCCTGCCTTAGCCCTGCTGCGCCTCCGACCGGACTTTTAACTGCCCGGTTAGCAGTGCTGACTGGAGCCACCAGAGTCCCTTTTCGACCAGGTGTTCCCATAGAAAACCAGACACATGGTAACCCTGTGCATGGACGCTGCTGTTAGCTAGCTACATAAGAGCACTACAGTGCCGAAAGCCTCTGTGTTGATGCACAGATTAAATTTGGTCAGGATCAGTTGGTTCAGACTTGGGAGAGATGAGTCTTTTATGCTGTGGGGGGGAAAAAAGGCTCCATCAGGGAACTTTTCGCTATGAACTCTGAATTTTTCAGCTGAACTGGCCTCTTTTAAATGTATTTTTCTTCTGCCTGTTGTGTCCCTAGGCACTATCCGTAATGTGGGAGGTAAAACAAAGACAGAACCCTCCCTCTCCTTACTGATTACACCTCGTCATGTTTATGGGAAGTAACAGACGACTGTTCGCTAGTCAAAAAACATTATTAATTTGTTTTTGTATTTTAAATCAAACTAAGCCTGTTGTTCCCTCTCATTGCAAATGGTTCATCTTGAAATAAACACTCTGCATGATTCAGTGTGGAAGACTGTAAGTAAATATACTTACAAATTTTAATCCCATATTTTGTTCAGTCCTAGATAGTGAAACAGGTACCAGTAGCCCTTCTGTGCGTTTCAGCAAGACCTGCCTAAAGAATGTCTTTTCAGTAATTCTCCTCTTCATTTATCTGCTGCTCATGGCTGTAGCTGTGTTCCTTGTCTACCAAACTATCACTGACTTCAGGGAAAAGCTCAAACACCCGGTGATGTCTGTCTCTTACAAGGAGGTGCCCTTGTATGATGCTCCTGGTAAGTCTCTGGAAATAAATCATCATAGTGGTGAAGTCCAACTGTATCTCAAGACGTCATTCAAATCTTTGCATGTGTTACTGACAGCATTTTGCATGTAACAAGTGCTGGTGCCGTTTACTCTCCAAGTCGGTCCAAGTGATGCAAAAAATGCTTTGGGCTTTGCTTCTTTTTTTGTTTAACACATGGTGGTGGTGACTTCAATGCATGGAACCTTTTCTCCGTTATTATGAGACAGACTTGCTGAATCTGAACGTGTATAATGTTAATACGAGCTTTAGAGGCTCATGCAGCTCTTCAGTAGCTCATATGAGGCTTTTTTTGCAGAGTCCATAGACTTGAATAGGGTCATCTTGATCTCTTGGGAGTGAGAAGAGAATTGATCACCGGAGTGCTCCTTAAGCTATTTAACCTAGCCAAGGCAGCACATCTGACTGCTGCCAGGATCTCTGCCCCTTGAAGTATCAAGAAATAATGGTCAAAAGCAGGCAGAGCTTTCGTATTAAAAGGATTTTATAGGCAGCCACAAAATCATCATACTGTTATAGTTTGCTGTTGCACTGCAATATTTACATTATGGCATTGCATCAGTAGGCAGTGACAATGAAACAGCTCCACCCTATCAATATCACAACACAACATCAGAGCATCATATGGCAGTCCTTTGGTGACTTCATTGTTCTTTTTAAAATGCTTTGGAGTTGTGTGTGTATATATATATATATAAAATGTGTGTATATGTATGTATGTGTATCTAAAAAAAAATTAACCAGTTAACGTTCACAGTGTGGTAGAGCATGCAGTTCAAATCAGCATTTGCAGCAGCTTACTCAAAGGGACACAGTCAACTTAAAAATCACACTTTTTTGTCTGAAAATTTTACCCACCTACTCTTGTTAGGAGTAATCCCTCCCATGACTATTGTTGAAAGATTAGAGAGAAAATATTTGGGGTTTTTTCAGCTATACTGTGTGCATTTGACAGCATTCTGTGTAAAGTTAATTTTAATTATTTCCTCTGTAGTCAGTTAGGCCCCAATTCTCCAATCGGATCTTTGTGGGGAGCTGCATTCACAAGCTCGGGTGTCTACTGACAGGGATCTGATGTAAGGTCAGGGCCTTTGTCTGTTTCCCTTATGATTTGTGTGAGTCTTTCACACCGTGACGGGGAGAAAAAGACATTTTAAAAAATAAAAATCTAATTGTAAAACCACAAAAATTGGCAGTGGGCCCAGAGGAAGTTGTAGGATCTGAAATTACTTTTTAACTTTTTTTAAAACTGACCAGATTTTTCTTCCAAGCATGGAACACTGGAGATTAGCAAAATGTATTTTAGAAGCTCTCCACTGTCCTTTTTGACTTATGAGAGGGCATACAGGGTATTTCAGTAACTGGTGTAGGTTTATAAATCACATGTAGCATATTTTTACTTTTAAAGTAGTTGATCTATATTGTCTTCAAGCAAATCTGTGTTGCCCAGACTAAATGTGGCAAAAGAGCTTTGCTGGTTTTCATGAGGGGGAAGCCAGAAAGAAACACATGAAGTTTTTATACCCACCATTGGACTTAAGCATTGTTGTACTTTATGCTAAATATATTAATTGCAGCATAGGTGGGGGAAAAATAGCTTGCCTCCCTGATAACAAAAGTGATGAGAGAGGATAATTTGTTGACACGTGTTTTATATCTTTGATTTATCCTGATATAGTATTTAGTAATTTTAATGTCTATTTGTTGCCGTAGGAAGGAACATCTTTTCGCTTTTATTTTGTCAGCCAGTGACTTTAGAGATTCCGTAGACAGTACATTACTTCTGTTGGATATTCCCAATATGGGTTTATACACTATGGTTTAAGGGCTTGATCCAGTAAAACAGTTAAGCACTTTAAGTATTTGAGGAGTCCCATTGACTTCAGTAGGCCTATCCACCTATGCTTAGGTGCTTCTCTGGATTGGGGTTTTAGGGCCTGATCCAGCAGCTTCTGATGTTAGTGGAAAGATTCCCGTTGACTTCGGTGGGCTTTGGATCAGGCCCTGAAAGAGAAATAGGCAGGGTTTTTGTTTTATTTTTTAACCTGCTGCTCAGAGCTCAATCCTGCAAGGTGCTGAGCAGTCTAGCCCTGGTCCAGCGGAGCATTTAAGCACATGTTAACTTGGAATGCTTTGCTGGATCTGGGAGCTCAGCACCTTGCAGGATTAAATCTTAGAATGATAATCCACTTACTTGGGCAAGAAATCAACTCTCATTTATGTTTCTTCCAACTTTTTTCCCCTGAAACAGGTATTGCACTTTACCCAGGCAAGGCTCAGCTGCTTAGCTGCAAGCATCATTACTATGATCACATTCCGCCTCTGATAAACCCAGGTCAGCCAGGAGAAATTGAGTGCACCACTCAGAGAATCAACTACACAGATCCTTTTACTAATCAAACCATGGTAATGACTAAAAAGACAAAGGAACAGAATTCAGCGGATGGGGTTGTTTTGTGCACTGCAGCATTCCAGAGTAGCAGTATATGTTATCCAGGAACTGTTGTGAAATACTTGCTTTCTTCTTTCTTAACTTTTTTTCGAACAATCAGTCCTTATTTTTAGAAATGTAAAAGACATCAGTTGGTTTATTTTGTTGATAGCTGAGCGATATGTGTGTCATAAGAATCTGAATAGAATGGAACGGAATAGATATTTTTGACAGTGCAACTTTTGGTTCATTTCTTACAAAAATCAAAACTGGCATGCAACTTTAGATTGTGAGATATGTTCAATTTGTTGAATCCTGCTTCAGTTGAAGGCATAAGTTTTTCCATGGACTTTCAGTTGGAGCAGGATAGGTCCTTAGATTCCCTTTTTACATATTCCATGTGTGGATGTACATACATATATTGTAATGTCACTTTTACCAAACTTGCTGGAATCTTCATGTGAATTTGGCACCCAGCTAAACTGATTAGATTAGGAAGGCACTCTGAATATCGAGTGAACCAATAGTGGTGATGCTCATGTAAGAAAGGAATTGAGTTGTAGTCCACCTTTATTTGCTGCATTTGCAAGAGCAATTTTTGATCATATTTAGATAATTTTTATTTAAAAAACAGGCTGAAATGTGTCAGTTTGTTGAGTTTAAAATTGTTGTTCATGTTTAATTTACTCTTTTTAAAGCAGTCTGTGTAAACACCCCTTCATGCCAACCATTTTTCCTCTTCTTTGCTCTTCACTTCTTTCTGCCCCCCACCCCGCTTCTTTGTGTTGATATTCATTTAAGAGCAACGGCAATGTTAGGTTCATTTGTAATGTGTTCTCTCTCTCTGCTCTTGTTATGATTGCCTGTTTCAGTGTGCTAAAGTCCTGCATTTTGTGCTGCATGTATTAGATACATTTTAAGAATCTTTGTGCTCTTGTAGCTCTGATTTTGCACTTGACTCCACACTGTCAGACCTCTGCCCATGCAGAGTCCCACTGGAGTCAATGGGATTTCTCCTGCGGGCAACAAATTGCAGGATCAGGGATCTATACTGAGCATGCTGTCTGGTATGCAACTTCATGTACAATATTATGTTTTCTCTGCTTAAAGTGGGGTTCTGTTCCCCGACATCACTTTTCAAAGCCTGTCAGTCAAGGTTTGTCTATCGTCAGTGTTGGATCTTAGAATTATATTTATGTGAGATGTTTGGGCTAGATGAGTGACCTTCTGTTTTGCAGGGAATCCCCGCCTTTTCCTTAGGTAGACTCTCAAGTCATCCGGGGCTGCTGGAAGAGGCTTGTAGGATCCAATCCTCCATTCCTTGTGCACACAGAACTCCCAGTGACTTCAAGGCAGGTTGGAGTCAATTGGAGGTGTGATTCCATAAAGAATGTATGATTGGGCCCTGAAAAGGTACTGACCTTTATAACATACTCCCCCCAGCCCTCTCTTGCCGCAGCAGCTGGGGCCAGGGCAGAGGTGCCTCTCCCTGGCAGCGGCAGCTCCAGTGGGCCTGGTCTGGGCCGAGGGAGGGTCTTCTTTCCCCGGCAGCACTGGTGGGCCTGGAGAGGGGCTTCTTTCCCCAGCAGCTCTGGTGGGGCTGGGCCAGGCCAGGCCGGGCCGAGGGAGGGGGCTCCTCTTCCCTGGCCGTGGCAAGTCCGGGACAGAGCAGGTCCATGTTGGGGTTGGTGGGGAGGGGCTCCTCTCCCCGCCGCGGCAGGTCCATGCAGGGGGAGAGGCATCCCTGCATGGGGCTTATGAGGCAGCTGCGTGGCTGCACATCTTAGAGGGAGCTTACACTCACACGCCCAGCTTGAAGTGTAGACGTGCTTCTAGACTAGCCAGGATCACTCTCCAGGTTCTAAGAGCTGAAAAATCATAGATTCACAGATTTTAAAGTCAGAGGGGATTATAATAATCTAATCTGACCTCATACATAATAGAACAGAACCTCGCCCAGTAACTTCTGCATCAAGCCCAATGATAGTAGTGAAACTAGAACTTTTAAAAAGACATCCAATCTTGATTTAAAGACTTCACTTTGCAGTGCAGACACTGCCTGAGATTTGAAGGTGTGATCATAGTATGGGTAGGCATCCCTGAGTTAGCTTTAATCGAGTTAATTTGGGTAACACAGCATACACATGGTGGCCCAGGCTCCAGAGTACAAGCCCTCCAGGGACCCAGGGTACTTATTTGGGTTGCTAGCCCATGCTACTACGTCTACACTGCTGCTTTACCCATGTTAGCTAAATGTAAAGCTAACATGACTATGCCTACCTGTGCTATGATCACACTTTCTCTTTGCAGAGTAGATATACCCTTAATCAGCAAGTAGGAATTTAGGTATGCCCAACCATTCTCACTGGATATCTTAATTGATGTGTACTTACCAAAGGTATGAAAATGCCCATGTATACTAGATTTCTGTCATGCATTAGTGACAGGTGACAAGTTCAGTGACAGGAAATGAAGATTCCTTTACTTTTTTCATAGTTCTATCAATAACTCTTTCTTTCTCTGTGCTTATAGAAACATGCTTTGATTGTCCAAGGACCTCGAGATGTGAAGAAAAGGGAACTGGTGTTTTTGCAGTTCCATTTAAATGAAACAGACCAGGATTTCAGTGCAATAAACTATCTTCTGTTCTCTTCTTTCCAGGAGTTCCTCAACAGGTATGCACAGGAATAAAGGGTGTGGCCTAGCAAATATACTGTAAGATGCATATTGTTACTAGTAGAATGAATTTAGGGCTTCTTGTTTTCCACTTCTGTTTTTACCGATTTTTAGGTGTGTGTTTGGGCTAGCTTGGGGCACTTTCATGCCTTGGAAAAATTGGTTTCTAGTCATTAATATTGGTGACTGAAGAATTTTGAGCTGTGGAAATGGTTTTCAGTGGCAAAAATCACCTCTGATCAATGTTGCCACCACTCATCACTTGACTTTTGCACCAAAGATACTGAATGACCAGTCTGTGTTGTTGGTATGGATGACTTGGAAGTGAATGTCAGCCGGCAGCACAAACCGGAAATACATTTTAAAGAATTATAATTTTTCTGTTTTTATTTCTGTTAAGGGTTTTTTAAATCAATGATTAAAAACAATCAGTGATGTTTTATCTGAAAGCTTAAACATAGTTACTCTGGACCCTTGTGTAAGGCTCTACAAAACGATTCACCTGTTTTGGGTGGGATTTTCAAAAGCACTCAGCAACAGACAAACTCTGCTTCCACTGAAGTGAATGGTAAAACTCCCACGGTATGTCTGCACTGCAGCTGGGAACAAGCCTGGCTTGTGCTCCTGGCGCTCACGCTGGTGTGCTAAAAATAGCAGTGTAGACATTGCTTTGATGTTGTGGCTTGGTCTCAGGAGACCCCCCTTCTCTGCTTGAGAGCCTAAGCTCCAGCCTGAGCTGCAACATTGGCTGAGCTATTTTTAGTGCACTAGGAAAAGCCTGCAGACCCAGGCTGAGAGGCTTGCTCCCAGTTGCAATGTAGTCATCCTCACTGACTGTAGTGGGAGCAGAATTAATCCAACACTGAGCATTTTGAAAATCTCACCCTTCTATTAACCCTCCCTTACCTGCAGGGGGCAGATTTTATTTTTATTCAGTCTTTGCACTGAATTACAATTACTTGGTTCTGCTATTCTCTGTGGCCCTGATCCAAAGCCCACTGAAGTTAATAGGAGTCTGCCTTTCTAGTGATTTCAATAGGCTTTAAATCAGGTCCTAAATTGGGAAAACAGTAATATTCACACATGTGGTAAGAGAAAAGAGAGCAGAGCCAGAAAAATCACACACCACAGCATAGTTCATATGGATTATGGGGACAGCCAGTCCTTTGAGGTAGGGAGGGGAAAATAATATTTTTAGTATTATCATCCTCAACATTTGTATTTCAGTAGCGTCTAGAGGCCTCAACCAGGTTGGGGACTGATTGGACAGCAGCCAGCACAAAGAGAACAGATACCTCAAAGGGCTTAAATTGCAGGTGCTTTTTGGTAACAAATGATTGATTTTTCTCAAAAATTTTCCACAAAGCATTTGTCCTTCAGTGAGAAAGGGAAAACATTAGCTTTCATAATAAGTACTGATCTTCTGTAATCTTACTTAGTGCTAGAACATCCCAGAAAGTATCAGTGTCCAGGTATTTAAAATGTACCATTGCTATTTCAGTACAAGAAAACACTGTTTTGTAGCTTTCAATAGAAATTAAGCTTAACATGAATCATCTGTTTTACAATCCGCTTTCTTTTTCTAGTTTTTATGTAATATATGTTGCTATCTTGGTAACTTACAATTAGCTACCGCATAGAGTTGGTCAGCTAGTCATTCAATACCTGTCTCTTGCTGACAGTGTACAAAGTCTGAATACTGGCCCCTCCAGATGCCTGCCTCTTTTGTGCCATATTCAAGCTCTGCAAGGGTGGGTATGTGTCCAAGTGAGTAGGTAGGAACTGCTTAAAAATGAACATTAGAAAGAATTCCCAGTGCATTGCAGGATTTAAGCAGAGTTTACATAATGGCACTGTGTGTGTGACAGCTTATAGGCACAGTAGCTGGGAATTGTTTGAGGGAACCGGATTCTACACCCTGGCCCCCAGGCTTGCCATAATTAGGCAGATCAGAGATGACATAATTGCTTAACCAATGGGAAGTTGCTCCACTCTTAAAGAAGCTGCCTGCTGACCAACCTGGCCCTCAGCACTGGAAGGCACCAGAGCTGCAAAGGTCAAGAAATCAAATGGTTTAAATTGGATCCATACATAATCGGGTTGATGCAGTGACAGAGCTAATAGGGGGTGAATGCCCCCTCGGCAGACTTTGGGTGCGTGTGGTGCCTTTTCACATGGGGCTGGTGAGCAAGTCTGCACTGTGTTCCCCTGGAAGGGGTGGTTCCTGGGGGGCCGGTTCCAGCTCCCTGCTCCAACTGTTGCAACATGGTGCACAGGATTGTGTGACAACGGTTGCAATGCCACTCACTCAAATTTGGTCCGGCCACCCCTGGATGGCAGTGTGATCCCATGCACCGTTGTGCCATGGCTGCAGTGGAGAGCCAGGCCCAGCCCCACAGGACAGGAGCTGTAACTGCCAGGTGACTGTGGAGTGGGCTCGCTTCACTCTCCATCTCACCACCAACGACCCATTGCACCTCCCTTGCCCCCAGTTGCAAAATGTGACTCTGAAGAGCCTTGTGTGTCCATTTGCAGCAGTAAGACAAGCGGGATTTGGCATAAACTTTGAACAAACTAAGACATACAGTCCTTTAGTAAACTTGGCAGTATATGATGGGGTCACTTAGGGTGAACAGAGCCTTAATACAGTAAGTGTTCTAGCTGAGAGGCTGGGTTTAAATGAATTTTTGGGTAAGGATCTGATTTGTAACTTTCAATATAAATTAAGCTTATCATGAATCATTTACTTTATAATTAGCTTTTCTTTTTATTCCGGTTTTTCATGTACTATATATTGCTGCCTTGGTAACCTACAATTAGCTACAGTATTGAGAGCCTTATAAATGAAGTGGATTGAATAATTGAAGAGTCCAAGCTTGACCATGAAATAAATCTAAAAACCTTATAGATTCACATGTGGAATGCACTTGCTCTGACTTGGTCAGATTTCCAGTAGATGTCTATTTAAGCCAGGGGTGGGCAAACTTTTTTTGGCCTGAGGGCCGCATCAGCTTTCTGAAATTGTATGGAGGGCCGGTTAGGGGTGGCTGTGCATCCCCAAAAAGCCAGACATGGCCCGGCCCCTGCCCCTTATCCAAGCCCCCGCACTTCTCGCCCCCTGACAGCCCTCCCCCGCTGCCCCATCCAACCCCCCCTCCTTCCTGACTGCCCCCCCCGGACCCCTGCCCCATCCTACCACCTCTTCTCCCTGACCACCCCCGGACCTCTCACCCCTAACTGCGCCCTGCCCCTAACTTCCCCCCACCACCCCATTCAATCCCCCCCTTCCCGGCTACCCCTCCCGGGACCCCTGCCCCATTCAACCCCCATTCCCTGCCCTCTGACCGCCCCGATCCCATCCACGCCCCTGACCACCCCCCGAATTCCCCTGCCCTCTATCAAACCCCCCCTGCTCCCTGCCACCTTACCATGCTGCCTGGCGCACCGGTGGCAGGCAGCCGCGCCATGCAGCACAGAGCACTGGGCTCTGCCGCCCAGAGTATTGTGCTGTGTGGCTGCGGGGGAGGGGAGACAGCCTCCTGGGCCAGGAGCTCGGGCTGGGCAGGACGGTCCCACGGGCCGTAGGTTGCCCACCTCTGCCCTACTGCATATCTGACTTCTTCTAACTGCATCAATGACCATGTGGCTGCTTCATATATTTCCTCATATACTGCATGCAGTTCTAGAACCAAGGTTACTGCTATTGTTCTCAAGGAATGCACTTTTCAAAGTGGAAAAACTATTTCAGCATTCCAAAATCAGACTTCTGATATACACCAGAGGAGAATCTTGAACACTTGAAGAGAATTTAGGTAGCTCTGCTGCCTCTAAGCCGGGGTGGGCAAACTTTTTGGCCCAAGGGCCACAATGGCATTCAAAACTATATGGAGGGCTGGGTAGGGAAGGCTGTGCCTCCCCAAACAGCCTGGCCCCCACCTCCTATCTTCCCCCTCCCACTTCTTGCCCCCTGACTGCCCCCCTCAGAATCCCTGATCCATCCAACACCTCCAGCTCATTGTCCCCTGACTGCCCCCTCCTGGGACCCCTGCCCCCCCAGGACCTCCACCCCCCCGTTCCACATTCCCTGACCGCCCTGCCCCCCAAACCTCCACCCCATCCAACCACTCCCTGTCCCCTGACTGCCCCCTACCAGAACGCCCGACCCATCCAACCCTCCCTGCTCCTTGTCCCCTGACTGCCCCGACCCCTATCCGCACCTCTGCCCCCTGACAGGCCCTCCGGGACTCCCATGCCTTAACCAGTGCGGGACCCTCCCCCCAGTTCCCTGACTGCCCCCCCCATCCACCCACTCCCTGTCCCCGACTGCCCTCCAGGACTTCCCGCTTCCCCATGCTGGAGCCAGCCACACCCGCGGCACTGCGAGGTGAGGCTGTGGGGGAGGAGGAATAGTGGGGAGGGGCCGGGGGCTCAGGGGCCGGGGGCTCAGGGGCCGGGCAGGGCGGTCCTGCGGGCTGAACGTGGCCCACAGGCCGTAGTTTGCCTACCTCTGATTTAAGCACGTATCTTGTTTAAATAATTTCCATAAAATTCACTCCCCTCCCTCCAATTACCAAGCTTGCACTCTGATGCAGGAATGAGCACTGAGATGTTTATAAAACATCTTTTGTTTTATTAGTGTCACATTATACTGTCTCTTAAAACTCTAGTTATTGGCTCTTGCTCAGTGTTGTTAATATTCACTCACTGTAATGATAGGAGGTGATACTAATTCTGATGAGAAAGGATGCATTCAGTGACATGCACAACAGTTCACATAAAGTAACTCCTATTAAAGACACTGTGCAATATGATTGCTGATGGTTGTATCATATAGAATTCCTGTGCTGTGGCTGCAGTTAGCTTTTGAGTTGCTTTGGAGAATAACTGATTGGCTGTTGTGAAATGTTCTCCGTTCTTAGGGGCTTTTGTCATCTATGGACATGATCCAAAGCCCATTCAAGACAGTGGAAAGACTCCTATTGACTTCGGTGGGCTTGGA